ATCTCTACCAAAGCCAATATATTTTTATTTCACAATGGCTTAAAATTGTTTATTTAACAGGAGGAGTTATAATCTTTATTTATAGAGTGCATTTAAAGTGCCTGGGGACTGGAAGGTAGCAGGATATAAATCTAGAGAATCTAGGGTAGGGAAAGAAAATATTGTTACTATAAACATAGTTGGAATGAGGGACAGCCATCATAGGTAATGAAACATTTACATGGTGTTTTGGGTGTTTTACACCAAGTTGTTAGTCAAGGACACTGGCAGTTTCAGATCTGTTTCACCAGGGTTTTTTTTTTTCCTTCAGTGTTAGCTGAACCCAGTTTGTTAGGTCTAACCAGGCAAGGAAATGTTGGTCCTTTGGCTTAGATGATGCCTGTTAAAAGTTTTCTATCTCATTAGACACCTCTCCTTCAAGGATAGATTTACACATTGCCTTCCCTATTAGATGATATAGCATCAAAAAGGGGGCCTTATGATACCACTTTAGCTGCTATGGCTTCATCCTATGAAGTCCTGGGATTTCTAGTTTGGTTAGAGACACCAGAGGAGAATTCTCTGGTTGATGATTCGAAACATCCCTCCAAGATGCCAATCCCAGGATCCCAATGGATGTAGCCATCATAGTTTGGGGAATCATAATTCAGTGTGGAAGGGCCTCTGGTGACAAGTTGATTTGGACCTCAGCATAAATCAGGCAGTGTAATATGTGTCCTGGCATTCATCTTTGTCTATTAGCCCGCAGTGGCTGCTGGGAAAAGGCAACCAATTACCTACCACTCCTTTTAATCAAATCAAACAATGGCTGCAGATGATTAGTCCTTCAGAAGCACTAACAGAAATAACCAAACTGCACTTCTTAGAGTAAGATAGTCATACACTGATCAGGATTTTCCTTTTGTTTATAAGCAATGCTGCATGTAGCCTTACTTGGTCTTGAAAGTAGATCAGGTAAACAAGGCACACCAAGACAGGGTTGTGAGGAAGGAGGCAGGTGTGATGAAAGGCCCATGTTCCTCAACCAGCCACATGGAATATGAAGGATGTTCTCATTGCAAAAGCCTTAAGGGACTGCAACAGATCCTATCTATAGATACCTGGGACCAAACACCAGAAGGTAATCACTAGCTATTTTTTTGCACTTCAACTTAAATGTACTGTACTGTAAATTTCTCATGACTTGTTTAAGTGTCCTTTCAAAAAAGCAAAATCAGAAATGTATTTATTATATGTATATATATCTGGAAAGGAGAGTAGGACCAAGAAGGTAGCAGGCTGAAAATGGTTATTCAAAAATGAAATGAAAAATTAGAAACCTTCTTTTAGCTAATGTGTAGAGTTCACCTGGTAAAAGCTGTAGTGATAGTTTATAACATTCAGCATCAGCACCTGAATTGTGAGGCATTGAATTTGTGCATTATGTTTACACTTCTGAAATCGTCTACTGAACCTGTTCTTTCATTACATGTGGGCAACGGGTCTCTGTTCACATATACACACTGACAGATGTCTACGGGCTTTCGTAATTGTGAAATTGTTAAGATATAATGGAAGAAATAAAATTCCATTGTATATCTAAAAGCGACCAGTACTGATTTATATTGCTTGAAGGTCTAGGCAGTGATACTGCTTTGGAAACAATGGAAAACAACATTTGGAATGTTTGGTCCTCAGATACACCTATATCACTGGAATATTCCAAGATTGATGACAGCTGAAAACGACAACGCAAAAATGCCAAAGGTTCTTCATCCTGTCACTGGATGCAATCGTTTGTTTTGAAACTGCCCTTTCGAGTTCTCCAGCTCGTATTTCAGCTTCTTCCCTGCTCAGGGCTCATAGTCTCTGCTGAGAAAACTGTGTGTGCAACAACAGTCTAGTTGTCATTTCACTCTGCCAGTGGAGAAATGCATGATTGAGCAAATACAAAGATGGGATGAACACAAGGCAGCCACAGTGGCGGCTGAGGAACTACTCAATGCTGCAGGAAAATCATGTCATGCCCCTGGCTATCAGTTCAGACCATTGTTATTGTTTGCCTTCAGGATGTTTCTGGCTCATACTCACCCTAAGGAAAAACTATCGCAAGGTTCTCTTGCCAAGATTTGTTCAGATGGGGTTATCACTGCCTTCCTCTGAGGCTGAGAGAGTGCAACTTGCCCAAGATCATCCAGTTCCCATGACCGAATAGGGATTCAGATTCAAATCTATCTTTGTAAGAGAAGAGTGGAGAAGAAGACTAGGTACTTTGTTGTCCTACTCAGGAGAGAAGTAAAAGTACAGCTAAATAGTTTGTAAGACAGTTAAAAGCTTTCCCATTAACCACCTTTCCTTTCTCCACCCACGACACAGGAACCATGTATATTGTTCTCTAGGAAATGGACCACGGTTTTTAAACTGTAAGGAAGATACTTTATTAAAAATATATCATTTGAAAATAATGTACACACTCTATATTGGCTCACTATAGCTTGTATAAAACATTGAAATCTCTCATAAAGCAGAGAATGGGCTGTTCATCGTTATCCAAGGACTTAAGAGGAAGACTGTTCCCACCACAAACGTGCCCTTCCTCCCCACCCCTGAACCATTCACAGGCAACTAAGCATACAAAAGAACATTGGGTAAGAGAACCTACAGACATAGCTTACATCTGATCTTAATCCTACCTAGAGCAGACCCACCAAAAGGAAAGGCATCAACTTGAATTAATTCAATTCCCATAGTTCTATATCCTCAGCAGAACCTGAGAATAGTATCAGCTTTCCTTTCCTTCACTGAGACATGAATCTTCTCATGCACATATGAAATTACCGTATATTCCGGCATATAAGACGACTGGGCGTATAAGACGACCCCCAACTTTTCCAGTTAAAATATAGAGTTAAGATGACTCCCACGCATAAGACTACACCTGCGTATAAGACGACCCCTGACTTTTGAGAAGATTTTCTTGGGTTAAAAAGTAGTCTTATACGCCAGAATATACTGTAAGTCATAAACTGCTCAGAGTACAATTGTACATTCATGAGTTCCTCTGAGCGATTAGTCCTACCCAGACTCATAAGAGTGAATGACTAATATGGGCTGATACTCTGTACTGCAGTTACACTTAAGAATCTGTAACTCATTAAGTCTAGTTGTGTCCGACTCCGGGGAGTGATGCTCATCTCCATTTATATGCCAAAGAGCCAGCGTTGTCTGCAGTCGCCTTCTAGGTCATGTGGTCAGCATGACTGCATGGAGCACCGTTATTTTCCCACCAAAGCAGTACCTATTGATCTCACATTTACATGTTTTCGAACTGCTAGTTTGGCAGAAGCTGGGACTAACAGCAGGAGCTCACCCTGCTCCCCAGATTCAAACCACTGACCTTTTGGTCGGCAATTTCAGCAGCTCAGTGGTTTAACTTGCTGCGCCAATGGGGGCTCCCTAACCTAGTGTTACAGATCCATAATTGCCCCATATTATCATTCTGTTATGTGCCCAAGTAATTTCTGATGTATGGGGACCCTTTCACATGATTTTCCGGTGCTCTGTATGACTCACTTATGGCTAACTAAGGGAAATTGAACCCTGGTCTCCAGAGTTGTAATCTGATACTGAAAGTAGTTGGCCACACTAGATCTCAAGTCTTAATGTAAGACTTTGTATGCTCCCTGCTCCCATTAAAGCCCGCCTTAGCAGCCAGCAGCTTCACTCCCCAAAGAAGGTATGTTCACCAGCTGATAGGGCCACAGTGAGGAAGGAGGTGGTAATCAGAAGCAAGATTCCTCTTGAAACTCCTTAATTCAAAAAACAGTAAATGCAGCAAGTGAGTTTGGCAACCTATGATTTCTGGTACTATTAGTAACTTCCTCTGTATCCTGTTTTACAGTTTCCTTTTGGATCTCATTATAAACAATGAATTGAGAAATCTTTGTGATTTTGATCACATTTAAGGAAGAGAGTCCAGGTCACCTGCAAGGCTGCTTTCAAAAGGTATATGCAGGCCGAGTTTATGTTGTGATTAAACTTTTTTTGTCCAGCGCTAAGCTTTGCTTTGTGTAAAATACATATGAGGTCATCTGTGTTTGAACAAGTAATTCTGCTAACGCCTGCCCAGGACAACATAGCTATGGAACATACTGAAGACCGAGAAACGTTTTCTTCTTGAGATGCAACAGATAAAATGTTGCATTCCAACCCCAAATCCTGCATTGCCTCAGAAATCACACAATACCTGCCTATTCTGAAAGCTCTACGATAGGAAAAAGGAAAGATGGCATCAACTACAACCCATAGGACTATCAAGTATCTTTAAGCAAAGGTATCTTTACTCTATCTTCACTTTTGATTTGGAAAAAATTACATTAGTTTCAAGTGGCTTTAACCGGTGGTTCTCCCAGTCCAACAAAACAAATATTTAATCTTCAAGTAAAGTCACTGCCATCTATTAAGCAGATTGGGACAGCCTCAGGCAGCCAGTGTGTAATATCACAAACAAGGAGCAATTAGTTACTAATATACTTATTAGCATGTTTTAAAAGAGGTATTTTGTTTGTTTTTCTGCCCCTGGTGCCAAATTAACTTGGCTGGCCTTGGGCAATCAGTACCTTAACATTGGAAGGAGGGCCACTATTTGTTGCTGTGACTCACAAAAAAAAATGCCTTGCATGAGTGCTGCTGTTGAAAAGTGAACTAACTACTATGGGTTTTTTTCCATATGGGCCTCCTAGTCTGAATAAAAACCAAAACATTAACTTAGTAGAGGGTTATTAACCTTCAAGTGATCAGGAGCCAATGAAACAGCAGTTAAATTCTTCAGAAAGCTTTGGCTGCCCTCTACCGTTGGGAGAGCAGAATGTTCCAACCAATGGGACTTTTTGAAATACTGTTGTTGACCCTTCACAGTTTTGCAGATTTCACTTTTTGTGGATCAGATTATTTACCGAGTTATCTCTAGGAATCTCTTGGTCCTCTAGTGGATTTTGACCACAGACTCATGCTGGAAACTGTAGATTTCTGGGGAGATCTTTTACATTATGCAACGCTTTTGTTCCGGGATTATAAATGTCATTTCCTAACTGGTTCCATCGCAAAAACATGGGAAAAGTTTATCAAACTGCAAAAACGAAAACATCCTGCAGCACATTTTGCTAGTTTTTCAATGAATATCTCATTGAGTCCCAACTAATTCAACCTAGCTTGTGATGACCACAAAAATGAAGTTTCTGGAGTATAACAATGACTTTCAAAGTAAGTACCGCACAATTAAACAGGAAATAATGCTTTAAAACCAGGAACAGATTTTTTTCCCAAATTTTGTTACACAGTGTTATTTACAGCTTCTCCATTCCCCAGCAAATGTGGAGTTCTGACTGTATTGAACCATTTTCCATCCTGTGGTTCTGGATGATCCAATCTGTCTCTTCCTCTGACCCTCTCATCACCTCTGTCCTCTTCATCTACTCCATTCTCTGTCTCCTCTTCCCCTTTGCTACTCCTAGCTCTCATTTGAGTCTCTCCAGCCTCTGCATCTTTTAAACATTTTAACATCTAGTTCAAGTAAACTGGTGTGAATTACATGACCCGTTCCTCCTGGTTCGTCACACCTTCATCTGCAACTGCTATGTCTTTAACGCATCTCATTTTGACGGGATTACTCAAAGAACTTCTCTGGTGCAGCAGTGCAGATTGTTTGGCTGCTTCCGCCTTTCGTCCTCCTCTTGTTGGTTCTCCTCTCTGCTGGTGGGACCAGCTCGTGGGTCTGGTTCTGCCTCTGTCCCTTCATGAAAAAGCTGCTGTTCAAAGAGAGCTCCTCCAGAACCATACTGCTCCTCATGGGCAGATATTTCTTCAGGCGACACATGAGGACATCCAAGGATAAAGTGTGCAAATCTTAAAAAAACAAAATAGAGGTAAGGAGAAAACCAACACAGGTTGCACATCCTTTATTCAAAATACATGGGAGCGGACGTGTTTTGCGTATATGTACGTAATGATATATTCTCGAGATGGGATCCATGTCTAAATACAGCCCAATCCTGGATTTGAACCGCTGACCTTTTGGTCAGCAAGTTCAGCAGCTCAGCGGTTTAACCTGTTGCGCCACCAGGGGGAGATAGAGTGGAATATAAATAAAGTATATAATTATTAAACATGGCTATCATGTTCTCTTTTAGTCCTCCCTTTTCCAAGCTAAACAGACACTTTGGCCACAATTTTTTAAAGCCAACCTTCTTGGCAGTGCAATTGTTTCTTAAGTGATCTATCAGCATTTTTGCTGAAACCAAATGTATGTTTTTCTGTTCACAAACTTGATTTGCAGAAAGATGATCCCATTCCTTCTGGAAGCTACATGTTTATGCATTCACATAAGTAAAAGTACTGCTGAGATGTCAAAAAGGCAAAAAAAAAAGGGGGGGGCTCATTACTTTTGTGGGTGTTGCAGCTTGACCACTGCAACCCAGGAGGGAAATTCAGCACGCCTGCAGAATTGACGCAGATCTTCTAAGGCTTTGATTGTCTCCTTTTCCCCTTGCTGTTGATACTCTTCTTCAGTAAGATAGCGAAGTTTAAACTTTTTGCATTTGAAAAACTGAGTTGCTTTTCTAAAAGGAAAAAAAATAAACTGCCATTTTGCACGTTTATGGCAAACTCAAAGCAGAGAAAAGATGTTTAGCAACTGATGAGTGGAAGTAAAAGCACTTGTCAGTATTCTACACTGGCTATTAAGTTACACATACATGAGTATATACAGTAGTTATACGTAAGTCTAGACATTTTAGTAAATAAATTGACAGCAAAAACCTGGGTCAGCTTATCCATAAGGCAATGTAAACATCGTACATTAACTTTCATCAAAAAAGGAACCAAACCCTTCTACTTTCTCTGCTGCAGCATGGCTTCTGGCTTTTTACAGGATTTTTATAATGTGTATTAAATGTTTTAATTTTGTTTTAATTTTATGTTCATCGTGGCATTGAATTGTGTAAGCCGCCCTGAGTCGCATTTGGACTGAGAAAGGTGGCATCGAAATGCAGTAAATAAATAAAATAATGTTTTAATGTTTGTATATTTGTCAGTTTTAAACTGTACTGAAATGCTTTTAATGTAAACTGCTTTGAGACTCCATGTGGAGAGAAAAAGCGGGGTATAAATAAACATAATAATGTCAGCTGCAAAAGGTCACCTTACTGGGATCTGCACGCATTATTCGCCAATACATCACACAGTCCTAGACATTTGGGTAGTGTCCGACATGTGATCCAATACAACAGCCAGCAGAGTAGTCTTGTTTTGCTGTGGATTCATCTTGTTGTGTTTCTAATAATAATAATAACCTCATTATTATCCTGATAATAATATTATCCTGACCTCATGATCATGTAAAAAAACGAAGTATGGATCATTGATATTGCAATCCCAAGTGACAGCAGAATTGACGAGAAACAATTGGAAAAGCTTACATGATATGAGGATTTAAAGATAGAACTGCAAAGACTGGCACAAGCCAATCAAGGTGGACCCATTGGTGATCGGCACACTGGGTCTTGGCCTGCACTTAAAAAAATCAGTGCTGACAAAATTACCATCTGTCAGCTGCATAAGGCCACTCTACTTGGATCTGCACGGATTGTTCGTCGATACATCACACAGTCCTAGACACTTGAGAAGTGTGATCAAATACAAAAGCCAGCATAGCGATCTTGTTTGCTGTGTATTAATCTTTTGTATCTAATAATAATAATAATAATAATAATAAGAAGAAGAAGAAGAAGAAGAAGAGGTAGTAGTAGTAGTTGTTGTTGTTTTTAATGCCTGGACAGGAAAATAACACCAGTGGCTGCTCTTTGGCACTTTCCCTCAAAGGAACCCGGAGATAATAGGTGCTTCTTTTAGGTTCTCGTGGGGTGGGACTTAGCTCTCTTCTTTTGCCATTCAACTCAAGAGAAGGGGATGATTCCTTTTTTTGATAAGAGTTAATACTGTTCCTTTATATTTTGTATTCAAAAAAGAACCATACTTCTCTGTGTAGAGTGCTGAAAGCCGTTTTTAAATGTTTGAAAAGGCAGGAAAATGGCAGCAGTGGTAATCGGGGCAGCGCTTTTCTCTCTATGTAGAATGACCCTCAACTTGTCCACAGATCATAACAAAAATCACAATTTTAGCCCCCAAACCTGCCCTTGATCTATCTATGAAGTCAACATATACATGAGTATATACGATAAGTAACATTCCCCTGGCCAGACATTCCAAGTCCTTCCTAATATTCACATCAGCGAAAAGATCTGTTCAGATTCTGATTGTGGCAAAAGGAGAAGACTGTTTCCATCTCACAAATCAATGAGGAATTGCAACAGAATCCTGCTTCTGATTATTGTTTTTGGTGGGAGGAGGCTGGAAAATCTGCTGCTGCTCTGATTGGCAGTTAATTAGATTTCCTCTCCTCAATGCAACTGCTGACTGATACAGTGGATCTTAGTCTTATGAAATACGAAGCATTTATATATATAATTCTAGGTTATGAATCCATAGCTGCAATACAGATTCCAGTTGCTGTTTCTGGACTACAGGAAAGGAAGAGAATGAGATCCATGCAAAGAAAAGCTAAATAACAACTAGGATCGGGCATTCCGAGACATACATATAACAGCTCGCTACTACCTCCTGGTACTACTTTCCCGATCTCTTGAAAAATGCTCCTAAAATATTTTACACCTTTTAGCCCTAGCACATTGGGGAGAAAATGGACAGATAGCTTGGGGAGCAATTTGGTGAAACCATAAAACTGATCCAAGCCAGCTATCCCATGTATTTCAGAGGGGCAGGACTCAACTTGGGGGTGCTGCTTCTGCTGGCAACACTGTGATTTTCCTCTAATGTGTAGCTGCATTGCAAAATGAGAAAAGTTGTTTGCTCACTTAACAAATGGAGAGGAGAAAGAGAGTGGATGACTTCATTATATTCTTGTTGTTTATGCTATGGCTTAACAGTCAAAGGACACCAACCTGCCAACGTGGTGCAAGACTCTCAAAGGGTAACGCAGGAATTTTGAACACAGCATGGCAGCAATTGTCGCATTTGCAACCTGCGGGATGGCGGTGCCAAAGTAGACTAAGATCAAGCCGAGGAGCTGCAGTGTCCACATCAAGATATTCATACTTTGCTCACTACTAGGAGGTCCATGTGTGTAACAAATGGCAAAACTGGCCAATCCAACTATTAGAATATACCCTAAATATTTAAAAAAATCGCAAACAAACATCAAAACATTAAAGACTAATAATTTTATAGTAGAAACAACAAGGATTCAGTGGCAACTAATGGTTTCTATATCAGTAGGATAGTGAATCCACGCTGGGATTTAATATGAACTTTAAAGGAGCTATCCAAGGTCCTGAAGCTGATCTGATATGGAATTAAGCTGTCAATTGAGGATACCTTGAAAACTACAAAAAAAAATTGGGGAAGATATTTACAGATGAAGCTTGCCAGAATCTACAAAAGTTCATGCCAAAGGTATCACAATACTCTTTCATTTTGCTGCACACTAGCAATCTACTCCACCCTCAAGTATGGTAATATGTTATCTTACTTCAGGATTATAAATGCCCTCCTGCTTGGTTACCTATGGTGAAGAATAAACATCAACTCAACAAAACTAGGCAAACACCATATTAACAAATGAGTTCACTCTGTTTGTTTTAAAACTGCTGCTGTGGTACACGATAGCTATCTGAAAGGAAAATAAGCTTGCCAAATTTTTATTTGGATAAGTCATCTTATTTCAAATATAGCAGATGGTGGTTAGGAGCTCAGGACTCCCGCACATATCTATGAAATACTTTCAGATACTGCTTGCTCTTCATATTAGTGGTTTTAAGTTTTGTGGATTTGGTTATTTGCAGATTATATTTTGTAGGTTTGGTTATTTGAAGATTACATTCTCTAGGAATCTCTAGATCCTCCAGGGCAGTTATGTAGTCAAAATGAATTCTCATGGCACCATGCTGATTATTGCAAATGCCCCAAACTCATCTTGAAAGCCAGCCAGCTACACCAACTGGAGGGGTTCTGGGATGCTAGTAAGTGGGGCACTGAAGGATAATATATCTAGTAGAGGTGTGTGTGGTACCCGTTTCTCCCATTTCATCCATTCTTTCATTCCTTTAGTTTCAGTCAGAACAAAAATAAATTTGATACGAAAATAAGTAGAAGCGGGTACTGGCTCCAAACTTGCTTTTTGAGAGCACAGTTTAATCTTTTTATTAATCCCCCAGCCCCCCCCCCCCCAGTAAACCCTCATTTACTCTCCTCTTCCAGGAGGTCATCGGCCTTCCTTATCTAGGAAGCCTCCTTAAAATGCCTTGGAGAGTGTGCGTCTCCTCCTTGGGTCTTGGAGCTGCCACCTTGCGTCATTCGTTGCTGCCAGTCTCTTCTTCCTTCATATTCTTACTCTAGAGTAAGAGGTGAGAAGGAGGAAGAGTAGGGGGGCTGGAGATGCCTTGCTTGCATAAGAGACGGAGGAGAAGAAGGCGCCCAGCCAGGCAGCCGTAGCAGCAACGAACCACCCTAGGCTGCAGCTCCAAGACCTGAGAAGGAAGGAGGAGCAGAAGGCCTTAGTTGCCTTTTTCCAAGAAAAGTGCATGTGTGGCGTGCCAGGCCCTGGAAATGAGCGCCTCCTCTAGAGTAGAAACAGCAGGTAAGAAGAAGTCTCCTTAAAGTGTGTGCCAGAAAGGGGGGCCTGGGTGGGCTGAAAGAAAATGGATCTTTCGGACCCTGCCCTCCCAATTTCGGGAGGCTCCCTAAAAACGAATCGGGGTCCCCACCAAAAGCCGTGACACGAAACAGGTCAGGCTTTACCACAAATGCATAACACTAATATCTAGTGACATGCAGTGAGATAAACAGATATGACATAATACCTATGGTTGTGTTATCCTTCAGCAATCCAACTGCCTGCATAATAGAGCCTTTTGGTTGGTGCAGCCTACTGGCTTTTAAGATGGGTTTGGAGGGATCACATAAGGTGAGAGGTTATAGCTGAAGCATCAAAGTAATGTCTTACACAACATCTCAGTCTACATTCTTTTAAAAAAGGTTTCACTCATGACCAACACTGTTCACATTTTCTCCGTTATGAACAAATGTACTCCAAAGTGAGTATTCACATAATACTAGGTCCATCTTCTATAAGATTTTCTACTAACTGTCCTCCCCATTTCACCAACGCAGGAACAGTATGACCCCCATATCCACAAATATGGTATCCACAATTTTACTTGGAGTTCAAAACATATTCTCCTCCCACCCCCCAAATAAATGTTTGTGGACTTCTCTAGGTCCTCCAATGCAATTCTATGGCATGCTTCCAATCTAAGTATGGTCAAAATATAAGGTTTGCTATTATCCACAGTTTAAGGCATTCATGGTGTGTGTCTTGAAATATATCCCCTGTGGATATAGGGATTGTATTGTACTTTCCAAAAGCAAAAACAAGTTCTGCCTTGGAACTGCCAGAGAAAAATGCCACTTATTTTGAAACTTTACATTTTTATGAAAACAGTAATATTGCAAAAGAATTATAATAATTATAGTAATATCCGCTTTTAAATTTATACACTATTTGACAGGATGTTCCAAAGTATCTTTGACACAATACACTATTTGACATAATGGCCTGACACATTCTAATTCATATTCTTACCCAGTAGGTAGTATGATGAATTGTGCCAGAGCGCTTTCAAATCCTCTTTCCAAGTGTAAAAAAAATAGAGAGAAGAAAACCAGCATCCACTCATTAAAATCCAGAAGGTACTTAACTAAGGGAGGAGGGCAGAATAAAGCAGAGAGGTAGGTGAGTACTTTGTGGGGTTATACATACAAAGTCATACAAAAATACTTCTAGAAGAGAGGCAAACACAAACAGCCCAACCTGAAGAGCTCACACCTCACTGATGTCTTATAGCTAGCCAGAAGTCAATGTAAACCAAGCTAGCAATGATTTCTTGTTCCACTGTATAGAATACCTTTATTTTTCAAATGCAGGGAAGGATTGCTTGTGCCACACTATAATAAGGGACCTTCGGCTCAAGCCCGAATGCAGGGAAACAATGATTACGGGTGCATCTATAATGTAGAATTAATGCACATCGACACTTATCTGTCTTGGCTCAATTCCATAGAATCCTGGGATTTGTAGTTTGATCAGCCACCACATTCTTTTGCCGAAAAGGCTAAAAACCTTGTAAAACTACAAATACTAAGTATACTTGTATATAAGCTGATCTCGCATATAAGTAAAGGGCAGGTTTTGAGGCCAAAATTGTCAATTTTCATATGATCCATGGATAGCTAGAGTAATTCCATGGAGAGGGCAAAGCATCAGCACCGTCTCAAGGGGTCATCCTTCCCTGGTCACTGCCACCACTTTCCTACCCAGGCCTTTTGCACCACCTTAAAGCACCATAGAAAGGGAGATAGTATTAGGTCCTTTAAAGTGTAGAATTAAATCTCATATTTTACAAAAGGAAACTACCTTCTTCAGTAAACAGGGACAAAAGGTGAGAGCTTTGCCCATCCTGGGAGAACCTAAAAGAAACGCAACCCTCTGTACTTTCTCAGCACTCTTTTGAAAGAAAGTGCCATAGAGAAACCACCTTAAAGCACCATAGAAAGGGAGATAGTATTAGGTTCTTCTTGGGCAGTGATTCCCAACTTTTGGTCCTCTAGGTGTTTTGGACTTCAGCTCCTACAGTTCCTAAAAGTTGGTAAGCTGGCTGGGATTTCTGGGATTGGAAGTTCAAAACACCTGGAGGACCAAAGGTTGGAAACCACTGTTCTAGGACAAACCAAAGCTGGATCTATACTGCCCTACATCCCAGGCTCTGATCCCAAACTATACACTTATCCCAGATTATTTGACAGTGTAGACTCACATAATCCAGTTCAAATCAGATCTGGGATCAGATCCTGGGTTATAGAGCAGTGTAGATCCAGCCTAAACACTGGCCTTTTGCCTCTCAAGAGAAGGAAATGTTCCTTTTCAATAAGAATAGTACTTACATTGATCCACAGATAAGTTGCCCAGATTTGAGTTGCTGAATAAAATTTTGAGATATATACATATATTACATGAAGTAGGTAAGATTTATTTCTGATTCCTTCCAACTGGCGAGTTTTGATTCACAGAATGCTCCTGACTGCAGAAAAGAAGCTGAATCCACCCTGCTAGCTGAAATCCAATTGTCAGTCTGAATTAAAATAGACCAACTACATCAATTGCTGAACAATATCCAATGCTTCTGTAAATTCCACTGATTCATTGGATCTAAGCTAGTTGGGACGAGCTATTGGATAGTGGTGAACAAAGTGGTTTTGGATTGTAGCTCCCATCAGTCCTTGCAAGCAATGTGAAAGGTGAAAAATTGCTGGGAACTGCAGTCTGACAACATCTGATGCCCAGTCTTTGCCCACCATGACCCAACCCAATTAAGGCCATTAATTCTTATGATGGGTTGTGAAGTTCCCCTTATTTACATCTTCCTCCTAGCTAAGATATATCCGGCTGAGCATCTGAATTGTAAACAAATAAGATTAGAATGAAGTAAGCAAACGTTATTCTAAGAAAAGAAAGCATTATATAAACAAACAAGCCCTCACTCGTTGACACAAATTCAGCTGTAACTACTTTAAAGCAATTATACTTCAGCGTTGTTATTTACTTATGGCATCCAGGGACTAACTAAAAGCTCAATTTACTCTGGGAAACCGAGCTAAGTGTCAAACACTCAGCTGTCTTTTTAAAAATGTTATCAGCAGTGTGCCTACCTTGGGAATAAATCTTTTAAGCATCAAAAGGAGAAAGACTAGAGTGGCAAAAACACCCAGCGCTACTCCAGCAGAATAATAGAATACAACACTTCTGTTTGGGAAGAAAATAGGAAGGGTATTAACATTTTGTGCACAGGGATAAGGGGGTTCAAGCATACAGAAATTGAGAACACAACATCATCTCATCAACATGCCACTAAACCCAAGGCTGGTCCAGAGTGGCAACCAAGGGCCTTAGGGGCAGCTACACTGCCATCTCCATCTCTCAGTGAAGGCAGGGCAGAATCCAGAATCCAGTGGAGCTGAAACCAGTTTGGCCCAGTTGGGTGGTCATCTAACCTTGTATGTCCCCTGTTGCCATTGCTAGACTGCTATGGGGTTCCAAAGGAACTCTTGACCATCACTGCCTTTGCTGTCATCACCACCTTCTTTTCTCTTCTTCTCCTAATGACAGCAAAAGCACTGAGCGATGGCTAGGAGCTCAGTGACCATCTGCTGTGGTGACAAGAAGCCAATAAAGGCCTGACCAATCCCATTTTCCTTGCATGGTAGTGCACAAAGAACAGGGGATGGTGCCTTCAGCTAGTATGGTCCAGTTTGTTTTCAAATTAATCCATTAGGCCAGGTATACTTTGCTTAAATATACAAAAACACCTGAAACTTTTTTCAGAATGCATCTAAGGATTTTTTTTCCAGCCTCCACTTTCCTGTTTTGGTGGTGAAAGCTTAGTAGATCTATGTTTTTTTCCCCTAGCATACTGGAGATAAAAGTCTATTGGGTATATGCTGGAGTTAGCCCCAGCTTCTGCAAACCTAGCAGTTTGAAAACATGCAAATATGAGTAGATAAACAGGTACCACTTCGGTGGGAAGGTAACCACATTCCATGCAGTCATGCCGGTCACATGACCTTGGAGGCATCTACAGACAACACTGGCTGTTCGACTTAGAAATTGAGATGAGCACCAATCCTCTGTGTCGGACACAACTAGACTTAATGTCAGGGGAAACCTTTATCTTTACTGAACTAACTGTGGTTCTCCAGATGCTCTTGGACTGCAGCTCCCTTCAGCCATAGTGAACAATACTAAGGGTGAGGAATACTGAGAAATGCAATTCCAGAAGCATATGAGGAGCCACTAAATTTCAACACCACCTTTGTGATAACTAGTAAAAATATTACAGTACTTATTTGATAGCCAATATAGTGGAGTGGTTTCAGCACTGGACTCTGACTCTGAAGACCAGGGTTCAAATACCTGCTCAGAAACGGAAATGCACTGCATGATCCTGGGCAGGTGACACTCTTTCAGCCTCAAAGTAAAGTAATGGCACCCTCCCTCTGAACAAATCTTGCCTAGAAAACCCCTCTGGACATCCACCTTAGGGCTGCTATAAGCCAAAAACAACTTCCAAGACACAACGACAACAAGCACTTACCTACTTAGGCTATGCGCAAAGTGAAAAAGAAGGCCACCAACAACAAATAATAGAAAGAGTTTGCCATCAAGCACTGAAACAAAACAAAGCACAAGAAATATCCACATTATCTCACAGAAGTTGCTTGTCACTTAATGCGCATCAATCAAGTGACACTGGTATAGTATTATCATGAACGGATTTTTAAAACATTACTCACTGTTCTGCTGTGCACTCACGGTGTAGGACACTTTTTGCAGGGGTTGGACCTTGAAACATGTTTCATCTCCATACTGGTCCAGTGATATGATGACTTGCTTAGAAACGCCTGGCTTCCAAATGCTGTTAACCAAGCATTTTAAAAAAGCAAACAGATTTTCTGAACGTTGACAGCCATGTTCTCCTGGAACAGATACTACTTCCAACATTTCAGTGCTATTTATTTTCACCTGGGAAATGGAAAAAAAGGCTTAATATTATTCTTGGCTCATAAGTACCGGACAAGAAGAAATATGCCAGTAGCGCTTCTTACATTTTTCCACTCATGATCCCTTTCTGGATGAAAACTGTTTATGTGACTCCAGGTATATAAAACAGGTAATAAAATCAAACATTTATTGAAAACAAACCAGCATGTAAAAGGCTTGCTAAAAAGCTAATTTTCCTTTTTATAAAGTACAGCTGAAGCATTTTCTACAAAGTCCACTGTAAACCAAGCTTTAAACTGCAGTGGCCAAACAACAAACTCCCACAAAAGTGCATGAAAGTGTGTCCTTAATTCGCATCAGTGCTCTGCAGTAATCACCATCTGGGCCTCATATTGGTACCAGGATTTCCTATGCTGTCATCCACATAGTAAAAACACCCCCTTCAATACCAGTTTGAAACTGTGTTAAATGGCCAGTGTAAATGGGGCTGAATGCTGAAAACCAAAATCCTACATTCAAATGCAGTGCAAGGCTACATCCACTGCCAGGTTGTACACATTTGTATGCAAGCAAAAAGAGCAAAAAGGACACATATATGAGTAAGCAGCATATTCGTGATAAACTGAAATGGGTTTGTGACAAGCCAGTTTTGGTTTCAGGTTAGGTGCAAATGTGACTTGTCTGCAAGATCTTATAATACAATTAATTGATTTTTTTTCTTTATTTCAAGCACTGATTTCTAAACATGATACTAGATCCTGTGTTTGGATTCTAATTGTTACACCCCAGCCAAAGTTCAACTTGCCCTCAACACCAACCAGGAATCCCAAAGCAGCAGTAAAACAGTTTGTTGGAAAAAGTACATATAAAAAGGGAAAATCACCAAAAAAGGCAAAATCTAACAGGTAATAGGAAAAAGTAGTCAATAAGTAAAAACTCTAACCAAACTGGTGAGGAGTAGAACACTTCAAAAGTAATAGTCCAAATAATCCAAAAAGTACAGGAAAGCATGAATCATAACACGAGCATAAATCCAGGAAAGCAAGGATCAAAACATGAGCATAAATCCAGGAAAACAAGAATCAAAACTCCCAAGAACTTAGACTAAAACATTAACTGAAAACAGGACTTGAGATCGTCACTATTATGCAGCATTGCCTGATCTGAATTCTCAAGGAGGCACTTCTCTGATTTAAGGACCACAAAATATGAAGTCATTTCTGTGACCCTGATTCCCTTGCCTTTGAAACTTTTTTCGCTCTTCCTTCTTACTGAGTCTTTGCGATTTTCTGAGCTTGCTGGATTCTTCCCTAAGATCTAGCCTGATAAGCCTATCAAACACAGGTGTTCTCTCAGGTGAGCTTTCTCGCCCATCCATGTCTTTATCTGGGGTTGCTATGCTACTAGTAAACGAAAGGTCTCCACCAGTCACTGCATCTCCTTGTCTGCTGGACTCCAAAACAGTTTCACTTTCAAGCCTATTCTCACAGACAGAATCTTGATCTAAAATCCCTTCATCTGGCTGAAACACAACATTAATGAGATTCTATGTATAAAACGATCCAGGTCAGAATGTTACAATGATTCCTTGACTTAAGAGTTCAATTCATTCCATGACTGACCTCTTAACTCAAAAATTCTTATCTCATAGCAAATTTACAATTAAAATGTAATTAATTTGTTCCGGCCCCCCGAATTCCCCTCCACCCCATTTTGTTATGTGTTTTTTGATAAGAAAATGGACTTTATAAATAAGAAGGTATAAATGCACATTCACATGGAACAATAAAAAGAAAGATAAACTTTTACATGGTAGAAGCACAAAGCATAATGTGAAGATACAGAAACATCCTTTTCTTCCTATTGTACTCAATCCAGGCTCCATCCCTCTCTTGCTCTCTCTCTCCCTCTTTCTCTTTGTGAAGCCAAACATACCAGGAATAAAAAACACACAAAATCAACTAACCCAAAATTCCTCAAAGCGGAGAAGAGTAAAGCAGACAGCAATCTCCCAAGTGAAGGAGTTCTTCCCAGTATACTTTCTCTCTATCTTGATGCTTCTTTAGAAAATAAACTGCCGTGTTATGTCTGCATGAATCAATGGTGGGCCCTTACCTGAATAGTTGACCAGACATTTTTCAAATGGATCACTCCATCTGGGACGTAGCAGAAACACGTTGTACCAGAGCTGTCCATTACATCGGTTGTCTTCAAGGTCCTGCAACTGTGATCTAGACAAGCAAGAGGGGATGTAGAAAAAGGTTTGGAGATCCCTGCAAATTATTTGGACATTTTTTAACATTAGTTCACATCAATCTTCCCAGTTGGAAACCAAGTCAAACCAAATTGCCATTCGTAGTATTTGCATCTTGTTTTCTTTCGAACAATTAAAATTACACAATGTATAAACATGGGACTTATTAAATGTTGCACTCCAGGCCCTCTGACTTTAAACACCACACAGCTGAGTAGAAATGCAAGCAGTTTATTGAAGATATTTTAAAAGCAGCAGCAGTAAAAAAAAAAAAACACTCCATAAAATTAGGTAAATCCAATTAGGTAGAAAGATAAGCAGGAACAAATAATCCAGGAAATTAATCTATCAGAGTTCATGAAAAACAAATACAGAATATAACAATGCACACCTATCTTGGTTTGGCAGAATTTAAAATGAAAATCCTACCCAAAGTAAACTTCATATTTAGAATGATACCCCTCAAAATTTCAGAAATTGAAGTGAATAAATGGCAGCAATTAATAAATAAATTTTGCAACAATGGGAAAAAGAATAGAATAAATAAATGCCACTGGTACAAACTGCAGAAAGAAGGAGGACTAGGACTACCCGAAATCAAAAGTTATTATGAGGCGAACCAATTGAGACATGTGGTGGAAGGGATGCTAAATAAAGCTGATACAGACTGGATGGAAATAAATAATAAAGATATAGAAATGAGATTAGAAAATATATTTTTTAAGGAATACTCAAAAAAGGAAATTAATCAAATTGGAAATGTACCATTGGAAAATATACTAACAATATGGAACAAATATAAGAAAAACCTAATTAAAGGGAATTCAAAAATAATTCCAGTTATAATGGAGGGGAAATTTCCTAAAAAATCTAAAAAATGTGATGGATAAGGAGTTGAAAAAGAAGAAATTAGACAAAATTGGAAGTTGGATGGAACAAATAAAGGAGAAGAGCACCATTAAGGAAATCCTAGGTGAATTAAATATATCATGGCTCCATTGGGTCCAACTGGACCAATGGTTTAAAAATTGGAAAGAGCTTAGGGGAAAGAGAACCAACGAAATTTGAAAACATACTATTAAAAGGGACAACAAGTATTATATACAAAATATTAATAGAGATTAAAGGGGAGAGAAAAGGGATACAAATAAGGGAACTATGGGAAGAAGAACTGGGAATAAAAATAGGAGAAAGGAATTGGGAAAAATTATGGAGAGCAAAACACCTCAAGAATTTATCAATTAGGATAAAAGAAAACTACTATAAGATGCTATGGAAATGGTACCTGACCCCGACAAAGATCCATAATATGGATAAGAGTTGTTCAGAAAAATGTTGGAGGGGTTGCCAAGAAAGGGGTACGTATATCCACATGTGTGGCAATGCAAATATGTACAGAGTTTCTGGGGAAAAGTTATAGTAGAAATAGAAAGTATTATGAAGAAAAAAATTAACAGAAATCCAGCGACTATACTGTTATCTATTTGCAATACAGATGAATGGAAGGAAAATGAAAAGAATCTGATAACAATGTTAACGGCTGCAAGGCTACTAATAGCAAAATATTGGAAAGGAGAGGTGGAAATTAAGATAGAAGAATGGTACAAGGAAATTTGGAAATTAGCAATAAATGACAAATTAACATGCAATTTAAAGGTTAAAAAAGGCCTAAGGAAGGATAATGATTTTGAAAATATATGGAAAATATTTATTGAGGAAACATTAAGGAAAGAAGATGGGAACCAACCCCCACCAGAAGAAATGAGGTTCTGGTGGGAGTATAAAGAAAAGAAGAACTCCGGAGATGGGGAGCACAAGGGGTAGCACAACTGGGGAAAGGGAAAAAAAGTAATTATATGAATTATAGAGATTGTTTTTGTAATGAAGGGAATATAAAGGTAATAAAATTATTAGATGTTTAGAAAAAAAAGAGGAGAACAAGTTGAATCGCTGTAAAGAATCTGGCTTAAAGAAAAGAATGAAGTAGTTTTTGTTAAGACTTATACATCTTTATTTCCTACATTTCTTTCACTATATTGTTCCACCTTTTTTTATGTATATAGCATTTCTTTTGTGGTTAATAAAAAAACTAATTAAAAAAAAAGATATCGATTTATAAAATAAAAAAAAGAAAAGAAAAACAAATACAGAAACTTCCAAGGTAAAACTCCAAAACTTGAATCATGAATCAAAGAAGGCACTTAACACATGAGTCTATCCAAGGCAAGACTTCCAAGGACCAGGAAAGATGTCTTGATTCAATTTCAACGTTGCTTCATCTGAACTAGATTCTGTACGTGGCACTTTTATCCCCTAATCTACTCCATGTCCTAAGTGGACAGGAACGGATTTTGTTTCAGCCTTGACTCTGTTATCAATCTCTCTCTCAACCTAGCAGAATGCCTAAGAGATTGGGTTGTTTGCCTGTGTTGATTAAAAACATGCCTTCTATCTACTGGCTCATTAATTTCTGCAGCTGGCCCAGGTGCCGAGCTGTTCTCAAGCTCAAAGTCATGGGAATTCTCTGGTAGCAATTCAGGCCCTCTTTCAGGGACCATACCATCATCCCCAAACCCTTCAGGAAAGACACTTTGAACAGGAATCCCATTGTAATTCTCGGCATCAATAGCAACCTCATCATTGGATACATGAACCTCATTGTCATTCCCAACATCCAGAGTACCCTGATCATTAGACACAATCACAGGCCAACTCCAACACTAAATATATATAATTAAAACTGATGAAATATTTTTAAAAACTTGTTTAACTACATAAAGCACAGTACCCCCTGGTTGGTCTCTAAAATTGTCCTATCCAAAAGTCTGCCTGGGTAAAAAGGTCTTAGCGTGCTGCCGGAAGGACTAAAAGCCATGACTAAAACTCAAATTATTATTACTGCTGAAGCTAGTCAAACTCAGAGGCCCTGACTGAACAAACTTGTGGTGATTATCCATCTGAAGAAAGTAAACAAATGCCAACCTTTGCCTTGCAGTAGTCACTCCCTGAGTGCACTTTATTGTGTTGTGCTGCAAAGGAGCTACACAAATGTCCTTCTGTTTGGCCTTAGCTTTAACACAGGCTAAAGAATTACCAGACTTCTCATGTAGAAGCTTTAAATATATTGACTCAATCCATCAGTGTTTGTAGCAGGGGTCCTCAAACTAAGGCCCAGGGGCCAGATGCGGCCCTCCAAGGTCATTTACCCGGCCCTCGCTCAGGGTCAACCTAAGTCTGAAATGACTTGAAAGCACACAACAACAACAACAACAACAATCCTATCTCAAAAGAAGGCCCACACTTCTCATTGAAATAATAATAAGTTTATATTTGTTAAAATTGTTCCTCATTTTAATTATTGTATCGTTTTTAAGTGTTTTTTGCACTACAAATAAAATGTGTGCAGTGTGCATAGGAATTCATTCATGCTTTTTTTCAAATTATAATCCGGCCCTCCAGCAGTTTGAGGGACTATGACCTGGCCCTCTGTTTGAAAAGTTTGAGGACCCCTGGTTTGTAGCTTTCTAGATTTTCTAAAGGAGCTTTCCAAGGTGCTGAAACTATTTGGGAACTAGTGTTCAACACCACGGATAACTCAGCAAAAGGTTACAACAGTCTGGTACAAATTCATCGCCTCACTGAAACGGCTCCAATCTATCTTACAAAAAAATCACGTCACCGAAATGTACAGTGGCCCTGTGGTATCTCCGGGTTTTTGTTCCATTCCCCTGCGAAAATCAAAATCTGTGCTGTAGATCAGCCTGAGCCTCTTGATGGGGTTCACTGATGATTTAGAGAGGATTGTGGGGTTAAATTCAGGATTTCCTGGGGCTCGAAGTGATGAAGATCCTCTGTGAGAAATCTGACTTGGAAAGTGCAGGCCTTCAAAATCAGTCAGAGGAGCCAGAAATGGCAACATTAGATAAGGAGTCGGGCGAAGAACTAAGTGATACAGAAGGCTCTCAGGAAAAAACACCTCAAGCTATGGAGATCAAAAAAGGTCTTTGTTTACAGATCACACCAGATAATAGGCATCATAGGTCTGAGTCTTTCTCAACATGGAAACGTTGAGAAAATTCATGGGAAAAGAAATGACTTCATGGGTGCCTATTTAGCAAGCTGTTTACTTAAGGGTTAGTTCAGGCAACGTAGCATTCAAGGGAGAAGCTAGACCTGAGTTCTTTGGGTTTTGTTTCAAATCAAGCCTTGTTTTGGATTCAAGTATTTTGGGAGTTTCTATGTTCCTTTTTGGGGGTTCCTGTTCAAGTTTTACTAAGTATACCTTTTACTTGTGGACTTAAGCTGTTCTTGTGACTTTTGGCTATTCCTGGACTGGATTACCTTTCCATCTGTAAAAGACATTTGGATTCCTGTTGGATTATCAGCTATTGCTAAATTTTTTTGGATTATACATCTACTTTATTCCTGATTTTTTCCAATATGTGTTTCTACAATAAACAGTTTGCTTATATTCTGGACTCTTGTATGGTGCTGTGGTTATAGGTGTTCCCAGGCCTAGAGTGCAACAATCTGTGGACAAGAGAGTGCACCAATAAATTGGCATTACTCAACAATCAATGTGATGGCAATACCGAAAGAGCCAGTGTGGTTCGAGTATCGAACTACAACTCAGGGGGCCCTTCTACACTGCCATATAAAATCCAGATCATCTGCTCTGGACTGGATCATATCGCAATGAAGACTCATATAATCAAGTTCAAAGCAGATCATCTGGATTATATGGACGATATGGCAGTGTAGAAGGGGCCTGTGCTCAAATCCCAGCTTGGCTCTGAATCACACTGGGTGACCTTTGGGTAAGTCACACTCTCTCAGCCTCAGAGGAAGGAAATCGCAAACATCACCCTTCCCCAAAAACCCCAAATCTTCAGCCTTCTCTGACAAAGGCACCTTCAACATTGCCATATAATCCAGGTAATCTGCTTCTAAATGGGTTATATGAGCCTACACTGTCAGATTATCCAGATTATCTGCTTTGAATTGATTATCTGTCTACACTTTGTCATATAATCCACATTATTTGGTTCAAGTGGATTATAAGCGTCTACACTGTCATATAATACAGATTGTCTGCTTCGAATCGGATTCTCTGAGTCTACAATTGTTGTATAATCCATGGTATGTGCTTCATGCAGTCATGCCAGCCACATGACCTTGGAGGTGTCTACGGACAACACTGGCTCTTCGGCTTAGAAATGGAGATGAGCACCACACCCCAGAGTCAGACATGACTGGACTTAATGTCAGGGGACTACCTTTACCTTTACTATGTGCTTCGAAGTGGATTAGTCTACACTTGTCATATAATCCATATTATCTGTTTCAAACTGGATTATGAATCTACACTTGTCATATAATCCAGATTGTCTAATTTGAACTGGATTCTCCGAGTCTACACTTGTCATATAATCCATGGTATGTGCTTCAAAGTGGATTATATGAGTCTAAACTTGTCATATAATCCATGGTATGGGCTTCAAAGTAGATTATATGAGTTTACACTTGTCATATAATTCAGATTATCTGTTACAAACTGGATTATGAGTCTACACTTGTCATATAATCCAGGTCACCTGTTTTGAATTTGATTATATGAGTCTACACCAGGGGTCCACAAACTTTTTAATCCGAGGGACAGGTCACAGTCCCTCAAACTGTTGGAGGGCCGGATTACAATTTGAAAAAAAACCTGCACGCTGCACATATCATATCTTGTAGTGCAAAAAACGCTTAAATGCAATACAATAATTGAAATGAAGAACAATTTTAACAAATATAAACTTATTAGTATTTCAATGGGAAGTGTGGACTTGCATTTGGCTGATGAGATGGGATTGTTGTTGTTGTGTGCTTTCAAGTTGTTTCAGACTTAGGTTGACCCTGAGTGAGGGCCGGGCAAATGACCTTGGAGGGCCGTATCTGGCCCCTGGGCCTTAGTTTGAGGACCCCTGGGCTACACTGTCATGTAAACCAGATTGTCTGCTTTGAACTGGGTTGTCATATAATCCACGTATTCCGCTTTGAAGTGGATCATATGAGTCTACACTGTCATAATCCAGATTATCTGCTTCGAAGTAGATTATATGAGTCTACACTCATATAATCCAGATTATCCGTTTTGAACTGGATTATATAATCCGGATTTTATATGGCAGAGTAGAAAGGACCAAAGAGTGCTGGCGCCTCACCAAACTACAACTCCCATTATTCCATTGCCTGGGGCCAGGGCAGTCAAAGCAGTGCCAGTCCCTGATTTTGGGATTAGGGGTGCATCTACACTGTAGAAGGAGTGCAATGTGGGCACTGCTTTCCCTGCCATGGCTCCAGGTCATGGAATCGTGGGAAGATGCCTAACCGCTTGGGTTGCTCCCCAAAGGGCTCCAAGGCCATGATTCAAGGGCTACCAACCTGCGAAGAGGGCCAGCTCTCCCCAACCGCGGGCTGCCTGGACCAAGGCGCCGAGGAAGACCAGCGTTGGCGGCATTCTCCCCAGTTTGAATCCGTTGGAGGGGAAGCAGGGCGCCTGGCTGATCTGGAGCCTCCTGTTTGCATTCCCAAGGCGCGGTGGCTCCTCCTTCCCTGGAAGAGAGAGAGGAAGGAAAGGCCGGGGAGAAGCTGCACTCTTGCCGGGCTTTCCTATTGGCTGGGGGCGCCATTCAAACCATGCGCCGCATCCAATCAGTGCTAGGCAATCATGGAAGGGGTCGTTCTATGAAGTCTTTTACCTCCTCTGCCTGCTGGTTCTTAGCATTGGGAGTGAAAGTGGTACCAAACTGCGTTAACTCTCCCGTGTAGATGCACCCTTGCATGGGGAGAGTGTCAACTCAAACCAAATCACGGAAAGTCTCAAAGGGTGAGTATTCCTTACTCAAAATGTTTGGGGCCATCGGTGTTTTGGACACCCAATTTTATTTTAAGAAATCATAAAATTAGGAGGAAATAAGTATAGGTTAAAGACTCTTCCACACAGCCATATAACTAAGGCCCCTTCCACACAGCTAAATAAAATCCCACATTATGTTCTTTGAACTGGAATATATGTCAGTGTGGACTCAGCTAACCCAGTTCAGAGCAGATATTTATTTATTTATGTATTTATTTTATTAACTGCATTTCTATACCGCTTTTCTCACCCCTGGGGGGACTCAAAGTGGTTTACAACATAATAAATGGCAAATAATAAATAGCAAATTCAATGCCTCACATATATACACAAATATCACATATCCAAATCAATGACATATAACTGTAGAAAATAACTATTAAAACTATAAAAACATCAAGCATAGACATAAACATATTATTGAAACATATTATTGCTACAATTAACAATGTAGACCCCTTCTTCCCCCCCCCCCCCCCCAGCTCTCTCTCGCCATAGCGTTTCAGCCCTTCTTTTTATACTGTGGAATTTTCTGCCTTGATATTCTGGGGCCCCTCCACACAGCCCTATATTCCCAAATACCAAGGAAGAAAATTCCACAATATTTGAACTGAGTTAGCTGAGTCCACACTGATATATATTCCAGTTCAAAGAACATAATGTGGGATTTTATTCAGCTGTATGAAAGAGGCCCTAGACACCTACGTTGCCATATAATCTAATTTAACAAAGCACATAATCCACATCTGCTTTGAACTAGATTATATGAATCCACATTGCCATATAATCAATTTCTTTATGGTCTGGTACAGGAGAATGTCTATTGGTTTGACACCATGACTGCTTGAATTTCAAGCAAAAAGTGGGCACTAGAAACAATATCATACGAAAGCTGACTGGCACAACCTGGGGATCACAACCAGACACAGTGAAGACATCTGCCCTTGCGCTATGCTACTCTGCTGCTGAGTATGCATGTCCAGTGTGGAACACATCTCACCACACTAAAACAGTGGATGTGGCTCTTAATGAAACATGCCGCATTATCACGGGGTGTCTGTGCCCTACACCACTGGAGAAATTACACTGCACCACCTGACATCCGCCAGGAAGTAGCAGCCAATAGTGAAAGGACCAAGGCAGTGACATCTCCAGCTCATCCCCTGTTTGGGTATCAGCCAGCACGTCAACGACTTAAATCAAGAAATAGTTTTCTAAGATCTACAGAGACACTCGCTGGACACCTCAGCAAGCGAGAGTCCAAAAGTGGCAGGCTCAAACCCAGAACCTCAATCAATGGCTGATACCAAATGAGAGACTCCCCCCTGGGCACACAGAAGACTGGGCGACTTGGAAGGTGCTGAACAGACTGCGCTCTGGCACCACGAGATGCAGAGCCAACCTCAAGAAATGGGGCCACAAAGTGGAATCCACGACATGCGAGTGTGGAGAAGAGCAAACCACTGACCACCTGCTGCAATACATCCTGAGCCCTGCCACATGCACAATGGAGGACCTTCTTGCAGCAACACTAGAGGCACTCCAAGTGGCCAGATACTGGTCAAAGGACATTTAAATCAACTACCAAGTTTGCAAACTTTGTGTTTTGCCTGTTTGTTTGTTTGTTTGTTTGTTTGTTTTGTTCTGTTAGAAATGTAATACAATTGTCTGGCTGCCCCTGACACAATAAATAAATAAATAAATGATGTTGCTTTATTGTTACACCTGGAAAAAAGTGCTTTTTGGGGGAAACTTGCCAATTGTTGTCTAAATGAAAGCCTTTTATCTTTGTTGGAGGTAGAGAAACCTCAAAGAGTTAAGTCAAAGTCCATTATTTTCCTCCTGTTTTGGATAGCTCGGGTGTGAACAGAGGGACTTAACGTGCAAACCAACAAATCAGTTTCCATAACTTATTCTTATGTTAAATTTAAGATTTAATGCCTAAATACAGTGAGAGTAGACACTTGTTTAAGGAAGTCTTTACTTCAAGAGATGTGAGGATTCTTTTATTGTTCATATTGTATTCTCTCCTCTCACAGCTTCAGGATGTTTTCAATTTAACATCACTGGAATTGAAGAAGAGAATATTTTCATCTGCTTTGCCTCCACCATCTGTTCTTTAATTGCTGGTTTTCCCTAAGGAAAATATGCCATTAGTGTTGTGAACCAATTCATTATTTAAGAAAACACTGGTATTTCATGTATTCAGAGGACTTTTCCACATTGCCAAACATTATCCACTGTCAGAAGGAAAGATTTATAGCTGGGATTATAGGATATTTTTTCCAATTAACCAAATCCCAAATAGCTACAAAACAAACAAGTTCAATAGAATTGACAGTAGAAGACAAACACACACACACAGAAAAGAAAACATACCCATCCACTCCTGTTGTTTTGCCTTTAAAAGCACATTCATATTTTTAATGCAGCTAGTTATACATGATCTGCTAAAATCTACCCATCAGTTTATGGTTAATTTGATAAACGCATATCTACCTTTATTTATAAGAGCCACCATGCTATACCTTAACATGAAAACCCTGTGATAGGGGTCATCCCAAATTAGAAATGAGGCAAGATATAGCAAGTCCATTCAATACCTGCATTGTGCATTTTAAAGTAATATAAATAATCTCTGGTTGTTATTTATTTATTTCGTATCCAACGCATTGCATACATTCATATAAAACTGATAAAAACAGAAAGTGCGCAGGCGGCTAAATATCTTTTGACCAAAAACGGGCAACAGCAACGGCATTCAGTTCTTGTGGGTTTTTTTCGGGCTGTATGGCCATGTTCTAGAGGCATTTCTCCTGAAGTTTCGCCTGCATCTATGGCAAGCATCCTCAGAGGTGAGG